AGTTTATATTAACAGTTCTCACTACTTTGTATGAGAGCTTTTCAGTAGGTTATATAAGAGGTAAATGTTTTCACTAGTTTAGTTTATGGCAGACTCCACTTCTAGACTTTAGAAGTTGTTGATGAATGCGTTGACTAACAGGGGGGCAGGAGGTGGATCAGACCTGCTTCTAGATGTGCATAAATAAGTGGAGGCAGAAACACGAGGGGTGCAAACCATATCCAGAAAGCTAAAATCGTGGACCGCCTCTCCACAGAAGATGAAACTAAGCTCAACACAAGTCGTGTTCCTCAGAAACCTCAGCAAAGAACGCCAGAAATATAAAAGGTCTGCCCCCTCCCCTATTCCTGTCAGGTGACTTTGAAATAAAGAGCTGTTTTTTTAAGAAGGTGTTTGTTAATCTTTTGTTTCCTTTTTTCTTGCCCCACGTCAACCAAACCACCCAAATATCTGATTATCAGTCCATTTCTGGCTTGGCTCACCTGTCAGGGAGGCAGCAACAGGCTCACTTCAACAGATTATTTTGTTTACTAAGTTCAAGGATGTTTGTGAAATGATCCAGCCTTTAATCAAAGAGTACAAGTTTGCAAACCTTTACTTTCTAGACTAGTGCTGTGCATGTGTCTGTGGACTCTCGCGTTTAAAGGGACTGCTGAGCATGTAGAGTAGGCCAAAGCAAAAGCAGGAATATGTCTCAGGGGCAGAGGAAAGGAAAAGAGGAGGGTTGCAGCGGCCAGGAAACGAGCTCAAAGTTAGCTCTAAGGTTCCTACGAAGCGGGATGGGAGGCGGATTCATGCAGGGCGTCTTCGTGCAGTAACATGGCGTTGCTTTTTAACTGATTAGCTCACATGGTGGAAAACTTCCAGTGATTATGAAGGAACCAATCGTTGAGTAAAGCTGATGCATCCTTTAAAGTAACACAGCCGGTGGACATTTTGTTATGATTTTGGCGCTGATGGCTGGTTTGATTGCTCATTTTATTCACCTTTTTAGCTCTGCCCTGTTTCTTATCACTGCTCATCTGATCCACCTACTCCTGTTTCCATTTAAACTCCTTGGTCCCAGCCATCAGTTCCAGATTATTGTTGAACCTTTGGAATTGAGAGATTTCTAGTGTTTCTATAGTGTTCTGTTTGCCTGATCCTGAATTGTTTCTGTATTTGGACCTTTGAGCCTGCCTGCACCTGTCTGATCTGTTTGCCTGGCCTGTCTTTGGACTCTTGTTGGATCCTTCTGTGGACTAAATCTGGATCTGCCTCTAGACTTTGCCCTGTGGATTATCATGCCTTCCTTCTTTAGCTCAGATCTGATCTCCTGTCAGATCTGCAGCCTTCTAGGCTTCCGCATCTGGAACCCTTTGGCAGCATTTGCAACCAGCTGGTTGTCTGGGCATGAACTGACCTGTAAAACCAGGTTAAACTGGGCTTACTATGTATGATTTTTTGCCATTTTTGGGCCGACTTTCCACTCATGCAAGATTTTTTTATCGGGGTGACTTTTAGCTTGATCATGCGTCGTGTAGTATAGTGTACCGGGGGTTACGAGGGGCGATCAGCCGCTAACGACCACCTCCCCATCAGGAATCTTAAGGTCGGGAGAAAATCAAACATGTTTGAAATTCAGTCGGCCGTCGTAAGGCGGTCGAGGGCAAATCACTCAGTGCCCAAAAAAGGATTCTTCTTCTTCTTCCTCTCTGCTGTAAACCCAGCATCATGGCGGGGGGGCAATGAGTGAAATGGAGTTCTTTTTGTCCAACTGTCAGACCGTAGTAGCCACGTTAGCTCAGCCATGTCTTCGTCCAAATCCGTCGTCTCCTTTTCCTTTTAGGGCTTTCAGCACTAAATTGCCCAAATATCCAAGGCAGCGCGTTTCACTCTAGTGAGCTTCATGTTCCTCTGCTACTGGTTTGGCTTCCAGATAGACGAGTCCCAGTAGCGCCATCTCACTGCGGAGCTGAGTCCCACCTGGTTTTTAGACGTACAGTGTGAGCAGGTAGATCGCATCAGAGCGTCGGGTCGCACAGTGAGAGAACTAACATGGTGAGCTGTGAACTCGATGAAACCGAGCTGTAGCTGCGTGCAACGATCGAAAACATTTCAGTTTATTCCCGGCTTTAGAGACTCACGTGTTCCTAATGACCTCCGTCCGATTATTGTGGTCACTAACCTGTGTTTCTCTCTGATAGACATTGTTGTTATAGACTTTAGCCTTTGATACAGTGGATCCACAGCCTGCTTCTCTAAATAAATGTTTGAAGTTTTTCCACTTTTGCCTGAATTCTGGGTCCCGCTCTTCTGAGTCTCCACACATTTAGTCTTTAATGAAGGCAGCAGTGGTGAGGAAGGACTACATACAGTATGTCGCTCAGATTTCTGATTGTGTCTTAAAGGGTCAGAAACCACCTGCTCTACATTGTTTGGCCCAGAACATGAGGAGAGTTTATGGTTGTTCTAACAGACACCTGTTAATCCTGGAAATAACCATGGATTTGATATAATTTACATTGATTGGTTTTTAAATGAATTTCTTCCCACATATTTGGATGGTGGATTAAGCAGAGTTGGGAGGGACTGCATCCATTTACTGGGTGAAGGAAGGTCTTCCTCATGGATGTCACCTGGTGACCTTATGTGTGTTTATAAGGCCCTCATCAGCCAGCAGGTGGTAAAAGCCTGACCTCAGCCTCACCTTTCATCACCTGGCAGGTGTTCCTGGTGGAAAAACTAAATGTCCCACCAGATATTCATGAATTTATGACAAACTATTTTAACTTGTTTATGATTTTCAGATCAAGCTTACTGGGAGAATAATGGTGGACTTGGAGACCAGATTTCTGGGTCAATGCTGGAAACATGTGAACATAAAAATAAAAACAGGCAGGTGTACGGAAGCCCTGAAAGGCCAGTTAAAAAAAATCCTACTTCTGATGTAAACAATTTTCATATTTTTTGTGTTATCTAATATTCTGAGATACTGAATAAAAACTTGAACTGTTTCAGTATGTGTGTAATAAATGCATATGATCTAACTTTTCACTTTTAGAAAGAATTTACTGAAATGAATAAACCTTTTTGTGACGTTCTAAGTGTGAAACCAGCTCATATATATCACCACTTTAAATATTAAGTTGTTTAATAAGAACAGCTATCAGATTGAGGGGAATGGTTTCTTCAGTCTGATCTCACTAGACCCCCAAGGGGGGGCCCATGGATGGTGCTAGGGCCGCCCCCAACCACTCATCGATGCTGATTTAGAGAAAAAAAATACAAATTTTATGTTATATATTCTTGAGATGTGCAAATTAAATATTTAATCTTTAATGACGAGTAAAGAAGTTTCATGCATTGTCAGACTGGTGACATATTTCCACCCTGGGGGGCATAAATCTTCCTCCATAGACTCTGGTTAAAGTGTCCAGTGCAGACGCTCCTGTTCAATGCTAAAGATAGGAGCATCCTGGGGAGCAGCTCTCCTGCACCCAGAGCTGAAAGCAGCTTTATTTGCTCTCCATCTCCCACAGCGCTGACGTCACAATCGTCTGTTAGAAAGGGCAGCTGATTGACAGGTTTATAGGATTATTTAGCAACAAGGCTAGGCTAACTGCATGTAGCGAGGCTAAGGCTTTATCCTGCTTTCCCTGCCTTCCCAGCCTTTTTCAAACATCAGGATCTGATCCAGCCTGGATAAAGACAGCTAGGACTGATTTAAAGCACTTTGCAGAACATTTTAGAATGATGTTTATTGTTGTTGACATTCATATAAATATACTGCTGTAATACCTTATTGTGCATTTGATTGGTTTTTGGTATAAGTCTATTTGGAAGTTATAGACCCCCTGAAATAAAGTCCACCAGTTGCCAATGGTCAGTCCCTTTCATGGCATTTTGCAGACATGCAGTTTGCCCTCCGGTTGCCCAGACCTGAGGCATGCTGACAGTGTTACTGACTGTCCATCAATGCAGCAGAACAGCTGGTTGAACAGATGTTAACTGCCTTACTGACAGGCAGTCTCTCTCTTTTTCTCTAAAATAGTGGATCGAACCAAAGGAGCGTTTGAGTGGGCCGATGCCTTCTGTATCTCCAGGAGTTATGGGGCGTGAGATAACCCACACATAAAACCCACCTAGCAGCCCTTATTTATGTATTGATTTATCGCAACACCTTCCAGCTCTGTGCATGTGTCTATAATTATGTTAGAAAAACCTTTTTCAGGGTTTGTAACAAAACTTTGGCAAGGAAGACATGTAGGCTTTATTGGTTAGGAAGTGCTCTGGTTCTCTGAGCTGCTGAACTTTTTCAAACAATCCTTCCTCTGGGATTCAGACCCAATGAGAAGAACTGTGGTTGCTGTAGGAAAGATCTGACTCACTATTTCCTGCAGGGGACACTTGGACCTGAGCCACTCGAACAGAGCGTCATTCCTGAAGGTGGCAGTCGTTCCGCCCAGACTTCTCTGAACAGCGGCAATGGTGGCTGCATTCCTCACGATTTCAATCATTCCTGAAGGCACAAACCTTTCATTAAGGAACTAATCGATTTTATGGAGTTGAAATGTCTTTAAAGCTGAAATAATCAAAAACAAGCTCTTTAAATGGTAACCTTGAAAAAGGAATCTGTCTCTGAAGGGAAAATGTTTCTGAAGCTCCTGCACAGACTGAGCAGTTTGGTGATTTCATTTTGTTCTTTTAGTTACATTTTAAACCAATGAAAGGAGAACACATTAAAGACATGAAACCAGGGCTGCAACTAATGATTATTTTGATAACTGATTAATCTGGTGATTGTTATATATATTAATCGATTAATATTCAAATAGCCAAAGGTTCCGTATAGAGGTTTTTTTTTTTATTAAATTAATCCAGGTACACTAAAACTTTTTCGACTTCTGGAGTTCTGGACGGGGGAAAAAGTGTTTTTATTTTCTTAAATGCAAAATATTTAAATTTTTTACAATTTTGGTATAATTACTGTCCTAAGTGGGTTTGATTTGTCAGCTAAAGGCATGTTTTATAGTCTCTATACTCCAATTAACAATGAATCGACTACTAAATAATTATTTTAATAATACATTCATCTCCCTTTCCTGAATAAACGAGTTCAGATCAGTTTCAGCAAACAGGTCAACAAAGGTTTTAAACTGCAGAGAGCGCACATGCTCAGCATACCAATGTTGTGTCCGGTGGAGATGCATCCATATGGAATGAGGTTGAGGTCCAGAGATTTCTCCTGCCATATGGACTCCATCACCACCAGGGTCTGAGGCAGAAGGGTCTCATGTTCAGTGATTCAGAGGAAACATGTGAGGCAGAATCAGGAGGATCTCTGGTCTGTCTCACCTGGATAACTAGCATGTCCTGCCTCAGGTCGTCTCCCTCTTTGAAGATGATCCCTACTGGTGTGTTGGAGGTGGGGGATGGCATCGGTGAAAACTCCAGCCAGAGAGGCTTCTTCTTCGAGGCCATCACTTTGCATCTGTCCAGCTGCATCAGAGGAAAAAGTTTATTTATTTGGCTCCAGTTCAACATCTCATTTCATTTCCCTGCAAAACTCCTGTTTCCAGCATCTTATCCCCTTTGGTTTGCATCATTATTCACTGTTATATGCAGCGACCGCTTCTGTAATATTTGAAGGTTGATTGACTAAGTAGGCCATTAAAATCTTTATACCTTCACCAGCACAGTAGATATCACTTCAATATCAATTTAACACTGAAATAAAAAAAAATAAAAATTTTCCATTTTAAAATCTAAAGTGTTTTTTGAAGTAGAGAACAACAATCGTTCAGTTTG